CCATCATTGTTAACCAAATAATGGAACGATCGTAGTTGGGACGTCGTTTAAGGCAAGTCCTCACCAAATCCTTAACCAAATCGAAACGGAAAAATTCTCTAATTTTGGACTAAAGAAGAAAAACAAATATAAAAACTGTGAAATTAAATGAATAATAATGAAGTAGTATTTGCTTACCCCAGAATGTATTTGATTAGGTCGTAGACTTTCAATTACAAATATTGCAACATAAATTAAAGCCAATAGCATTAGACCTGATGATATGGCAAATACAGTTACAGTATTTGTGGCAGCATATAAATAACCACTAACAACATTGCCGATCATCATGCCTGTGCACAGAGAGGCTTCATTTAATACCATTCTAGAAATTATTTACAAAACACATAAACACAGAATTATTAAACAGTTATATACATTTTTTTAATAAATTAAACTTACCTTAAAGCTCTTGCCTTTTCTTTGGCCACATCCGATATATAACAATAAATTCCGGTGATTAAGGCACATGTTCCACCACTCAATACCGAGGGCACTGAACTCAACAGAAATACCCAAGGACTTATAACAGTTTTGGTGGCAATAAAACTTAGAATTGTTAATATTATGGAACCAGTGAGATAACCTTGAATATAATGAAAAAAATATATATATAGTAATCCAACAATTTTTTTTTTTAATTTCCAAACACACCTGTAAATGTGGTTAAAACAATTGGCCTGCGACCAAATTTATCCGACCAGGGACCAATAAATAAACTAACAATTGCTGGTATTATACTTTCCAGCAGGGAACGGGCCATTAATATTCTAGCAACATAGGGTTGGACCTGGGTTTCTATGTGCTTTAAATAAATAGAAAATAAAAAAAAAATAATTAAAATATATTTAAATCTATTGTCTAGATAAAGTATTTTGTTTTTATTTACTTTTGTATTATTTAACAATTAGAGATAAACAACCCTTTTTATTGCAATTATTTTTTTGTTAAATTTTATTGATAAAATTGGCTTAACGTAGTATGATTCATACCATTCGATTTGTCAATTAAATGTTTATAGTGACAATAAATAAATAAAACATAAATTTCACATTGAACATAACACAACATAATTTTACTAGTTAATTGATTTGTTTATATATTTGTATTTTGCGTGACATTGCATTTTGAGAATTTGTAATAAAACTAGGCTCATTTTTTATAATTAATTTATTCAACAAAAAGAGATAAGAATATAGAACTAGTTATGATAACAACAACAATAGTAAACATGAATAATAGAAAACATCAAGTGTACGCCCCAGATTTCCTATTCACATTCTATGTCAAAATGTAAATCTAAGAATGGGACTTTAAAACAATGGAAATATGGAAAAGAAGCAGTGACAATAAAATGCACATTTAATTGCAATAATAAACAAAGAAAACTAATTAATTATAATTGAGAAAAAAATTATGAGTATTATCAAACTATATTAATAGGAAAAACATGATTTAATTTTTTATAGGATTTTCAATCGACAATAATTCCTTTATATTTTCAACCTTGAATTTAACTATTAAACTGAAAAAGGGATGGCAGTGTCATCATTATAAGTTTTTTATTTTAGATGCAAATTGTTTAGGAATTCATCAAAAACATTCAAAATAAAAACGAATACAATTTTAAAACTAATAAACTAATTTTCTGTGTCATTATCCACAAATAGAAACGTTAACTACCAAAATGTTTGTAGTAGATGTTAAATAACAAAATCAAAACAATTATATAGCTATTTGTTATACAAAAAATTTCCACTACATCATATGTCGAGGGAATTGCTAAAATTGAATTTCGACGAGTTTTTATGTTCATAGAAGCTGGGATCGATGTTGTTGATCTAAGGCCGAAGGTCATAGTCTTGAATGGTTTTTCTGAGGTTAACATTTTCAAATTTATTCTAAGGCCTATCATAGGCTTGGATTTAAAAAAAAATTGCTAAGGCCCTTATATTATGTTTTAATTGTTAATTTAATTTTGAGTTGCGTTTAATTGTTGCTTTTTCATTTAATTGGAGAGATTTTTGTTTGGAATTTTCCAAATACTTATTACATAATAATAAAGATAAAAAAGCGAAAACCGCAACAAATTTGCATTATTATCATTTAATGCGGTTGCAGGAAATGGTACGATAAACACCCTTTAATATTTTTTACAAGTGGCATGTAACTACTTGACACTCTGTAATGTCTATCTATTAAAAGATAAATGTATGCAAACACATTTGTGGTATATTATATATATTTTTATTTTCAAAACTTACTTGGACCTCTTCGGTTTCGCGTTCAACGCCTAACAATGGTGCACATTGGGTTTCATTGTACTCGAAAACGTAAATGCAGGTTTGATATAGTAATTGATTTTGATAAACAGTTCCTACAAAACAAATGATAATGGATCGTGACGAAATTCGAAATTAAAAAAAAAATTAACTTTGTTCTTACCAGATAAATACATTGCTAGAAATACTAAAAATACTGCTGGTTCCAATATAAAAAATCGATGTTTAATCACCGGTTGGCCCTCAACAGATGGAGGCAGTGTTGAATTGGAATTATTGTCATCATTTTTGCCTGGAATCGATTCGGTGGTCGTTGAAGTTGCATCTCTATTTTGGGCAATTTCATTGTCCAATGAGGCTTCTTCATCATTGGGATCGTATAATCTTTCTTCGTCGTTATGCATTTTGATGTGAACTCTCTTTACTTTGAAAACAATTTAGAATCTAGCACACATACATTTGCCTGTTTTTTTATCTTTAAACAAAGAACTTGTTTTGTTTTGTATTTTATTCATTTACGTTTTTGTAGTTCGTCGTTATTTCATTGTACAAAACTTTAATTGTTCATATGCAATAAAAGTATATATTAATGCATTGTGATAATTAAAACGTAGCCTCTCTGTTTATCGAAATTTAATCAAAAATTCGTTTTCAAAATATTCCGTTTTTATCAACTAAAATAAAAATTAACTAAATTCCGTTGGATTTAGTTAGACATGACTTGCTTTGATCGTTTATGACAATTGACACGATCTTCTTCTCTCACTGATCACTTTCTCTTTGACTTTTACACTAAACACATAACTATTATAACAAAAAACCAGAAAGAGGAATTATTTGTTTATTAACACTTTACAAATTTAGCATATTTAACTTATTTCAATGAATCACGGCACACTACTGTTCTCCCATCTCATTATTTTTGTTATTAAGTGTGTTATTTGTGACTGTTTGTTTTCTTTTTTGAGGAGTTATCAATTGTGTCATTCATGCTCAACGAAATGGTTCAAATGAACTACTCAAAGAATGGGATGAACTGAACTACATACATTTCATTATTTTTTTTATATTTATTATTCGTTGATTCTTTTTTTAAATAAATGTCATTATTTATTAAAATATCGTCATGTTTCTGTATAATCCGATTTAAATGATCCAAAAATATAATAATAATAGAATAAAAACACATTAGGCCGAGTGGTAATCCTTGCCTTGTGATTACCAAATTTAGTACTCTCGAGTAATCACTTTGTCAATGAAATGCAATCAGTCGTTAGTTGGCAGCATTGTTTGCTCCCCTTCAAATTGGAATTTCGCGTCATTTTTGTTAGAAATTGTGTTTCGTTTTTTGTTTTGATATTAATGTATAGAAATAAATGTGTAATGTTCCTTAAAATGTTTAAAACTAAAGATAAAATGTGTCTGAAGAATTATTTGTATGCAATTCGTGTGTTTCTTTTGTCTTTACAAAGGTTTTTGCCTATTATGTTTGGTGTTGTTGTGTGTGTGTGTATGTGTACGGTGCTTTGTTGTTGTTGGGGAAAACGATTCTTGCTCAATTTTGATCCGAAATCGTAATACAAGAGTATTTTTGTTGCTGATTGATTTTGTGCCAAAAATGTAATTTTTTCTAGACAAAAATTTATTATGCGCGAATGACGTTGCTGATGCCCCTGGACATTTGTTAACTTCGATAAAAGAGGTAAGTCTGTTTTTGCTGCATTAAATTTGAAATATTTAATAACGTTTTATGAAATTTCTTTGCAGCTAACAAAAACCCGTTTCTGTTTTCAGTGGTAAGTTGATTTTGATTTTTTTTTGCTTCAATATCAATCCATCAACGACACATGTGATCAAAATTTAGCATATATACCACAGTTTTGATGAATTCTAAATAGGTTTTGATTTTTTTATATTTTTACTATAAATTTAATTCCAACATGCAATCGGTGAAATTAATTAATTTTTAATTAATTTTGTCATAGCATAAATATCAATTTCGATTTTTTACAATAATAGACAAAAATTGGTTTTTATTGTAGTCAGTTAATGTAATCGTTAATGTGGGATCTTTGTTAAATTGGACAAGGCCAAGTATTTTTTAATCGAAACGTGTAGAATATAATTAATATTTTTGTATATTTATCTCAACTATCCCCATTCGACTTTTAAAACCCTATTTTTCAAACATTGGAGTCACCCTGTTACAGACATTTGTGGACAGCTGATTAATCAGCAGAAATTGGTTTTTAAGTCCCTACATTTTATTTGTTTTGATCCAATTATTTATCCGTCTACTATGTTCGCCTTCTTCTATTTCTGACATCAACGGCGTTCACATTGTAATGTAGACTTTGTAATATTAAATATACGTCATACGTGTGGTTTCGTGTGTGTTATTTTTTTCCTAAAGTTAAGTTTTATTTACAGTCACCACGTATTAATTGTTAAAAATAGAAAAATCAAGAACAGGAGAAAATATAAAAATATTAATTTCCTTCAGAAAAGTGTAGACAAAAAACGAGAATAAGATTTGCAAAAGTAAAAGACGCCAACCAACAACAACACCGCCACCACAACCAAACTCAATCAGCAGAAACGATCAAGAACAGCTTTGTTTCGACAGAAAAAGCAACAAGTAAAACCCCATAAAGCTGATTTCACTCAAATCAAAATAAAATGCGAAGAAATGCGTAAGTGAAACACAATTACGTGTAATGGAACAATCCAAGTTCAAATATTTAAATTATCTTCACAAATTTCTAGACGTTCAATTAGCAATCATGAAAATGATGACTATCATCACACATCACCAACACTGCTGTTCACAGAGCCCCCATCAACGTCTACAGGCACGGAAGATTTTCTGCAAATGGAAAGACTGTCAACGCGCCAAAATAAACAACAACACCGTTTTGAGAATACCATAGAGGCCAAAGTTGAACCCGGAGACACTTTACAAGCGATTGCATTACGATTTCACTGTTCGGTGGCAGATATTAAGAGGCTAAATAAAATAGATAAGGACAATGAGATTCATGCACGCAAAGTTGTCAAAATACCCGTCACCGTGCACAATGTCTTATTGGATAATCTGCCCATAGTTCATAAAAGTGGTAACAGCAGTCCGAAAATTAATCAAAAATCTAGTAGTGGTAACGACAGTCGAGACAGTGATAGTGGCCTCAGCAGTATTGTTCGCAATCCTTTGGATGATGCCGAGGCTATGTTGAGTGAAAAATTAATGGTAGCTTCGGTGAATTCATCGAGTCGAGATGGACCATCAACGAGTAGGTGTTTTACCGGAAGAGATGAACATGTCAACAATATTATTATGAATTCGAAACTGAAAGCAACGGCGACGGGTGGTGCAGTCAATATTTACACAGATGAAGGTAAGTGTGACGTATGCTATACGTATATTTGATGGGAGAAATGGTAATTTTTTAATTGAGTGACAAGTGATATGACAAACATACACAATTTTTTGGGGGTTTACGACCTTTGTTGTGATAGTGAGTGGAAGCTGCATATGGAATGACAAGACAATTTATAGTTAGGAAATATTTCAACAAACTTTTGGAATTAAAACGGGTGGCTTTACTTGATATCGATATCGAAAATAAAATCAATATATGAAAATGTTAATTATATAGCTATATAGTCAGTTTATTATATTAAAATATTCTTCGAATACCCCACTAAGTATATCAAGAGAATACTAATTAAAATTCTATAGGTCTGGTAAATGCACATAAGTAAATTCCATCATTTGTGATTTTTTGTAATTGAAGAAAAATGGTTTTTCTTTTAGTGGAACATCTGAAACAAACCAACAGTAATTGAGAGTTTATAGCTATGAAATAAAGTATTAAACCGATTAATAATGTTTAAATAACATTCGGAAAAATGCTGTTGTTATAGGATCAGATTTTTAAAGGTAGATTCCCCTTAAAATTTGTAATCAAGTCTCAGTTCCAGAACCTGTACGAATCTACTATATATTTTTATTTTATATTATTTTCATAAATTTGTATTGTATGCGAAATATACTGAAAGTGACTTTAATTTGTTATATTGACTAACAAAAATGAATGTCTAACAAAAATTGTATATTTATTTCCAATTTTTGGAATTTAAAAAGCATATATCTTCGATTTCGAATTCTCGGGGGTAAAAGGCATGTTCGCATAAATGTTTTAAAATCCAAACCATATACATAACTATACCGAAGATCATTCAAACGAAGTGCCTGTAAATGAGAATATCGTATATCCAATGGATGTATTTGAGAAGATATGTCCTCGTTTAGACAATCTCTACTCTACGATGTTAAGTATTTTCAAATTTGTAGAGACATTTCCATGAGTGTCAACTGTTCTTCGCATTTAGGTTTCAAAAGCATCAAATCCCTCCTTAGAGGTGTACATTAAAATTATTTTTGAATTGCCCTTTATTAATATACTTTCCAATTTCGGGGTATATGGTTCTTTTCAATTTCGCATTAAGTTACTTAAAATATCTTAGACATTCCTATTTTGTATTCCTTTTGGGAAAATTACCTCAGAAGGTTCTTCAAAAGTTTGTTATTTGCAACCCCCATAAGTTATTATACAGTTACTTTTTATATTTGCTTTTAAATAAATATCTGTGAAATATCAACTATTGTGGTAAATTATTTTCCGCAATTTGTTTTTAATAATCTACATTTTAAAATTAGTTTTTCATACCTAAACAAATTATGTTGTTTAAACAAACGCCAAGTCATAATCAAATGACAGCAAATAACGGTAAGTGCAGTGACATCTCTTCTCACTATAAGCCTCTTTCTGTTAAACACGAAAATTATTTTTCTGAATCACCCTGTTGTGAACACAACGACATTTGTTATCATTTCGCGTTACATACCGCCATCAGAGCAGAAAAGAAGAAGCATTTTGACAACCAGTCAAGCACTAAGAAATTTGCCAATTTGTATAGTCATTCTAAAGCCGAAATAAGCGAAAATACAACTTGTTTAATAATTTAATTTTGAGAAAACTCCAACGAGATAAAATTATAAAACAATGCCAGACTATTTGGGAGACGATCAACGTAAAGTAAAACACGAAGAAAAGGAAGAGAAAGAAATAAAATCTTTAGATGAAGGCGATATTGAATTGTTGAAAACTTATGGACAAAGCCAATATCACAAAGCCATCAAAATCATCGAAGAAGACATACAGAAGGCAGTGAAGCAAGTCAATGAGTTGACTGGCATCAAGGAAAGTGACACAGGTTTGGCACCACCAGCCCTTTGGGATTTGGCTGCCGATAAACAAATTTTGCAAAATGAACAACCCCTCCAGGTTGCCAGATGCACAAAGATTATCAATGCCGACTCAGATGATCCCAAGTACATTATCAATGTTAAACAATTTGCCAAATTTGTTGTGGACTTGGCCGATTCAGTAGCTCCAACTGATATTGAAGAGGGTATGCGTGTTGGTGTAGATCGCAATAAGTATCAAATTCACATCCCATTGCCACCTAAAATTGATCCAACTGTCACCATGATGCAGGTTGAAGATAAGCCGGATGTAACCTACAGTGATGTGGGAGGTTGCAAGGAACAAATTGAAAAGTTGAGAGAAGTCGTCGAAACCCCTTTGTTGCATCCCGAAAAATTTGTCAACTTGGGTATTGAACCACCAAAGGGTGTACTGTTGTTCGGCCCTCCTGGTACCGGTAAAACTCTTTGCGCCCGTGCTGTTGCCAATCGTACAGATGCTTGCTTTATTCGTGTTATTGGTTCGGAATTGGTACAGAAATATGTGGGTGAAGGTGCTCGTATGGTTCGTGAACTCTTCGAAATGGCCCGTTCCAAGAAAGCTTGTCTTATTTTCTTCGATGAAATTGATGCCATTGGTGGGGCACGTTTCGATGATGGTGCCGGTGGTGATAATGAAGTACAACGTACTATGTTGGAACTTATCAATCAATTGGATGGTTTTGATCCCAGAGGTAATATCAAGGTTTTGATGGCCACCAACAGACCAGATACCCTAGATCCTGCCCTTATGCGTCCCGGACGTTTGGATCGTAAAGTTGAATTCGGTTTACCCGATTTGGAGGGACGTTCTCATATCTTTAAGATTCATGCCCGTTCTATGTCCGTTGAGCGTGACATACGTTTTGAACTGTTGGCACGTCTGTGTCCCAACTCTACGGGTGCTGAAATTCGTTCCGTTTGCACAGAAGCTGGTATGTTTGCCATTCGTGCTCGTCGTAAGGTCGCCACCGAGAAGGACTTTTTGGAGGCTGTCAATAAGGTCATTAAGAGTTATGCCAAATTCAGTGCAACACCACGTTACATGACCTACAATTAAAAAATTATCATGCCTGTAATCTAAAGAGAAGAGAACTTATTTTTGTCTTTACTTTTTCACAATTAAAAATTTAGTTTTAATCAAACGAAAAGAGCAATTATGAAAGAATCAAATTGCTCGGTAATATATAATTATGGAATTTTTTAAGTATTCAATAAAAAATTTCCTAATAAAAAATAACATGAAATTTTATTATTTTTTTATCGTATGGATAATTTAGTTAATGCGGATATATAGGAAAACGGAGTTATGTTTACAGATCAAACATACACAAGGAGGGTTGTCAGGAAGATTTACTTTTAAATACAGCGACATTCTTATAATTCGTAATGCTTCTACTTTTATTGTTGAGTTTTTCTATGAGGTCTCGATAATTTATTTAAAAAATTGAATATTTAAATATTACCTCTTCATTTTCATATTTAGAATTGGCTGCAACCGATATGAATGATGCCTCGGCCCCGCTGATAACAGACATCCTGGATGATTCTACAAATGTGCCTCATATACATCGAATCAAAGGCCCCTCTTTGCGTGCCATCGATTGGTCCGGTTCAGATTGTGATATGTCATGGATATGTTTATTTGTTGTAATTTTGGCTTTGTGTTTTGTCATACCCCTAGTTTATGTAGTATATATTGCCGAACATGCTCATCACAACATTACGGGATCATCGACAACGGTGGCCTCCGCTGCACATCATTGACATTTTATAAGCATACATTTTACAAAACTCTAGTACTCAGTACATACATAATTGTAATTATACAAAGAAACATAATCATGATACAAAACGAAATGTTGTATTATGGCGTGGCAGTTATTTTATTTATTTTAAACCCAAGCAAAATATCTGATACAATACACAACATTTTTCATCATTCCTCGCGAAATAAAATAGAAGAAAAAGCCAAACCATAATAGGGTTTTTGGCATACAGGATTTTCTTTAAGAAAAAAAAAAACACATTAAATAAAATATAATTTAAATAAATAAAATTCAAAGAAAAAAGAAAATGCCACAATTTTCTCTCTCTGTGGAAAGTGATGACATTTTTTAAATAAACGATTTTAACTACCTTTTTATATACAAAGAAATATTATATAATAAAAAAACACTAAATTTTTTATAAGAACATTTATAATTACATTTGTTTATAAATATTAATTTATTAAAAAAAAGGAATCTACTCGGAACGATTAATTTTAGTTTCTAATTTTAATGGCATTCTATTTTAAATCATAACAAAGAAAAAACTTCCAAACCAAGTGTTTTTAAAACATTTTAAATTAAATAAATTATAACAAATAAACGAAGGTGTATTTTTTATACGCTATAAAATATTTTAAATGTTTGTATTCATACTTATTAATAATTAATTTTTAATTTCTTTGTTTTGTTTTCTTTTTTATTTTATTACTTTTAAGGATATATTCAAAATAAAATCAAGACAATTCGATAACTCATCAATAAAACAATTCAAAACCATTTAAATTAAGCAAAAGTCAACATTCAAAATTCAATTCATTCATCATGGTGTATTCAAGATCAACAATCAAATAATTAAGAAACAGACTTTTTGCAAATATTAAAGATTTCAGCAACAATATAAATCAGGTAAGATATTTTTACTATTATAAGTAACAGATTTTATTTTTCGTAGTTAACAATTATAACATTCTATAATATTTTAATCTCAGATTTGTTTATATTCAAATTGTGTTTTTGAAATTCAAATTTATATTGTTTTAATATATTTTTAGGATGATAATTTCTTGCTAAGTTTTCAAATTATTCATCTGTTAAATGTTTATTTGTTTATAATTCGAAAGCATATTTTTAGGAGATGAAATTTTGATTAAGTTCGGAATAAGCAGGTCCTCGATAAATGTCGTACCTATAAACATTTTGTTCCGCTCGATACAAGGTTTTGCACTCAGTCTACTACGACACAAATATGTTTTAGCGGGCAGTAATAGGTTACATGCGTTGCGCTCCACGAAGCGTGTTGGTTCGGTTTTGTTCATGAGCTTGAAAGTTTTGTTCATATCTGTCTTCGAATGCCGGGGCTTTCTCGTCTGTGATATTGCAATTATTCTCGTCTATAAAGGTTCGATTAAACTCAATGATCCTCTAAAAATACAAATGAAATACAAAATACAAATGATTTATGCATGTCCGCCTGTTTGATTTGGCAACTAGGATCTTTGGCATTGATCACGTTTTGTTACAGTTTTTTTAATCGTATTGACTGTATAATTTGGTACTTTGGGTTCCCATTGAATACCAAAAATTAAAAAAATTGGTCAACGTCTGTTGTTGTTGTTGTTGTAAGTCTTACTTGGTCAACGTCTGTAGTTCTCTTTGGATGCCGAATCTTCCTACCAAAATTGTATCATGGCATAACAAGTCATTTATACAGTTTACCGAACGATTTCCGATATTCTAAATATAAAAAGTTTGCCCAACGTTCAACGCGTTTCCTTGTCATACGTACCCATTTGAGCCTAAAAACTCCTCGATTTTTAAATCGTCTATATAAAACCTATATGAACATCGTCTATAAAGGCTCCAATCAGCCCGTCTGAAAAGACTTCGTTAAGTTCGTCTTCAAAGACTCCTTTCACTTCGTCTCCAAACACTTCATTTGGATCGTCTCCAAAGACTGGAGACTTCTTTTCAGGCCGTCTATGAAGAATCCCTTTCAGGTTGTCCCCAAAAACTCTGTTCACATTGTTTCCAAATACTTTTTTCAGTTCATATCCAAAGACTCTCTTCAGCTCTTCTATACAGGCTCCCATTCTGCTCCTCTATATAAAGTCTATTTAAACTCTTCTATAGTGACTTCCTTTCCGGCAGTCTATACAAACTCCCACTACGCTCGTCTATAAAGACTCCCTTTCAGCTCTTGACTTGATAAAAACTCTCTGTTTCAGCTTGTTTATAACGACTCTTTGTTTAAGCGCGTCTATAAAGACTCCTCTTCCATTTTATTTCTTTGTAATATCTTTCAACTCGTCTATAAAAATACCTTTCAGATCGTCGATGAAAACTCCTTCAGCTCTTCTAAAAAACACCCTTCATTTCGTTTATAAAAAATCTCTTTCGCTCGTTTGCGAACGAGTTTTATTCGTTTATCTTTTAAAGGCTTCCTTTCAGCTCGTATATAAAGAGACTCATTTTCCTCGATTCCCCGGGTATCTTCTATAAGAATCTCCCCCGTAATAAAAAATATTTTTAGTTTATATTTTAGATTTTTTTCTTTTAGTTTATTTGGTTATATCTTTGATATTTTTGTTTAACTTAGGCATTGTTGTTCATGAAAGCGTTATTATAATATTTTATTTTCGATATAATGAAAATTAATATGTTTGTTTTGAAACCTTTTTATAATATTAGTTCTATTATAGGTAATATATATATATATATATGTAATGAAAAATTATTACATAAATTAGGCAACAAAACAAAATGATGAAAAAGTTGTTCTATGATTTTGGGGCGGGCGGTGTAGGTAGGGCAGAATGTTAATGTAATTGATTTGATAGATAGATTGTATAGAACTTCTTTTTTTTCATTCATTTTCATAGACTTACACAACTAAATAGATATTTGTTTTAACAAAACTACTATTTAATAATATCATAAATACTTATTTTTAAATTAACAAATATATTTTTTTAACATTCTTTTGTTTTTCTTCTTCAACATCTTTTTTTTTTAATTCTTACAATTTATGTTTGTATGTGGTGGGACAGGGGGGAAGTATTTTTAATGAATACTAATGTGTGACAACGAACGACAGTTGTTTTCTTCTTCTCTTTCTCCTTTCTTTAGAGAAAATTAATGAGGGTTTATATATATATTTTTTTAAATAAATATAACACACAATTTGTTATGGTTATACACAAAAACAAAAAACATTACAAAATACTAACAAAAAATAATAAATTAAAGCGTACAATGGCACCTATTTGTTTTTTTTCGAAATACTTTAAATTTAGTTTTTTTTCCTTTCACCTTGTTTGCAGATCGAATTGTTAATTATTATTTTCTTTACAAATGAAAATAGTATCCAATTCTTTAGAATTTCCTACGCAGTAGTTTTAGTTGTTGTTGTTGTCGAATTTCCTTTCCAAATTAATATTTACTTAAACTTTAAATTTTCAAAGAAAGCAATATTACTTTTAAGGACGCCTTGCCGCACGGGAGTGGTGGGTGTTGTCGCTGTCGTTGTTGCTTTGACTGGTGTGGTGGGAGTATTTGCGGGTGTCGTTGATTTCGGTTGGTCTTTGGTATCATCTGGCGTTTTTCCAGCCGATGATGGATCTCTGTAATGGAGGAAAAAACAACTTAGAAAATCAGACTTTTTCTTGGGAATCTCCCAAAAATGGGATACATTTCTTATGCATTATTAAACTTATATACTAGCCATAGAAGATAACTTACGTTTCCAGAGATGATAAATCAGATGCTATTGTGGCATCTTCCTCTGATTTATCTACCTCGGCTTTTGGACTTTCAATTGGTTTTACAATGGATTTTGTGGGAGTTTTCAATTGTCCGGGTATCGTTTTAGCCTAAAAACAAAAACAACATCTTTAATAACGCCTTATATCATATTTCGAAAAAATCCTCACCTTTCGTGGCCATATTCTTTCGGCTGAATGTTGGGACGATGATGAAGTCATTAAAAAGGCTCTGGCCAAGGCCTTTACCGAAGGCAATGCATGGACCACTTCCTTTTCGATGACAGGTTTATCTGGTTTGTCCTGGCTACATGATGGTTGCTATCATAAAAAAAACAGGAATAAATAAATATTCTTGGCAGGTTAATGAAGATGAAATATTTACCTCTCCATCATCATCATCTTGGGACAAAACTTGACTTGGATTTAACAGCTTTCGTTTTGGTTGTAAAAATTTGAATGCCGGCGGTGTTGAACCCCGTGTGGGCGTTGTACCCGCACTCAATGGTGTTGTACTTTCCTGTCGACTTATATTTAGCATCGTTGGTCGTTCTTTGGCTATTGTTTCGCCGGGAGCCTGTTTTGTCGCCTCTTCTTTTTTCGTTGATTCACTAGCAGCCACATCTCGATCTCCCTCCCGACTAAGAGTCGTTGTTTCTTGTTTCTTAAAATTATATATTTTTATTGTATCCGAATCATCACTGGTCGTGGCTCCACCACCTACACCAGATTGTAATGATTGTTGCGACATGGTATCAAGAGATGATGATGATGTTGTTGTATTATCCTCCACCGTCATTACTACTTGAGCTGGTATGGCTTTGTATAAATCTGAAGCAGTTTCAGATTTTTCCACTTGTGGTGGCTGTACAGTTTCAGGCACTGTCAAAGTTGTTGGAGACTTATCGAATTTGCTTGATTTAGCCTAAAGAATATGGTGTAGTTATATGTATGCGAATGTGTGGGAAAAAGAAAAGAACATAAAAACCATATAGAAATATAAATTTTGTTAGTAAATAAATAAATATATAAAACAGGATAGGATATATGCAGGACAGAAAAACATATATGAAAGGAAAACAGGGTACATATGTTCGCCTAAAATAAAAAACTCCATCTTTCGTTCTACGATCTACTACTTTTACTACATAATTTTATGTTTAATAATTTCTAAAGAGAATAATGACATTTCTTCATAGATGAGAGTTTAGTATGCAGTTCCGATCAATACTTTTCTATGAAGCTTAAATATGAATCTATAAATATATCTTAATATTAAAATGCCAAACATCCATTGAATCCTTTACGTTAAAGCCAACTTCTTGATGTTCAAATAGCCTTCGAATAGTTTACCATATCCATCCCTTTCATTGATTTGCTTAAAATCGTTATGAAAAGTTTTCTAACTAAGTAATTTTAAAAATATATTTTTTCATTCCGTAATTTTTGTATCTATTTCATTAGGTGTTCTAAGTCGATAGATGACAATTTGGTGGTATAATGTATGTCTCGCTATTTTCCCAAGAGGTAATGGGTCTTGAACCATTTTTTTAGTAACTGTGTTCCGTCTATAAAATGGTTATTCAGATTCAGATAGCGTTGAACATTATGAACATCCATTATATTGCCCAAAAAATCGAAGTACATTAAATGGACCTCCAATAAAATCCCTGTACAATTTTCCATAATTTATGAAAAAGCCATTCTACAAAAATTGAATTTCTAGAAGCAAAATTAGTCGAGTTTATGCAACTAATAGCTATACAACAATCACCCCATAAAAATATGAATTTATGCACATTCTTCCAAACTGACTAGGAATTCAAATTATTTTGGAAATAATTTAAATAATATTGTTTAAAATAAGTACCAAAATACCGCAGCCCATTCCATGAGTCGAACCAACACTATTCTGGAAAAAGCTTCTATTCATGGTCACTTATTATAATTTACGTTCTTGGTGATACTGTCACTATGTGTGCTACGACATTAAGAAAATTTGACTTCGTGTTATGGAAGTTAGTACTACCATCACACACCCACACACTCAGAAGTTATTTCTTAACAAAACTTAAGGTTAATTTAGCTATGTTATTAAATGGAACTCTGCTCGAAACTGTTCCGATAGCTTTGAGATTATTTCTAGATGCCCCTGAAACCTAAATTTTTCTGCCAATAGGTTTTTAACCCACGTAAGAATTCGGAAGGCCAAAATACAGCCAATTTCTTTAAAAACTACGCATAGGATAATGGAAATAAAAAAAGAAACGGGACCTTTATATTGGTGTTGTCAGAACATGAACCCAAAATCTCGAATTGCAATAATTTCGTTCGGAAAATGTCAAATGTTAGGTTAAATGTTCGAAAATATTCAGGATTTTAAATCTCGATTCACACTTTCGGTATATGTAAGAAATGTCTTAAAAAGTTATCAGGATTCTTAAAGATTTTTCGAAAAAGAGCTTCCGAAAGTATTCATAGCTTATTCCGAATTTCGGAACAAACAGCCGACAATTTTCCTAACTTCGGATCAAACTCCGGTAAATTTCCTAATTTCATACCAAAGGCCAGTCATTTCGATAAAAAATAATTTCAGAATTTCAATTAAAACTTCTTAAAAATAACCAGGATTTTTATGTTAGATTTTCGAATAAAATTTTCGAAAGTATTCATTGTTTTTTTTTCGAATTTCGGATGCAACAGCCGATAATTGTACGAATTTCGGATCAAAAATCCGAAAAATTTCCGAATATCGTACCAAAGGCCCAATCCTTTTTTAGATTTTCTGAAAATGTATCCGAAAATCATTATATGTATATTCTGCCCATATTCCTATAGATTTGGATCCGAAATTGTACAAAAAATGTTTGATTTCTCTTTAAATACCGATTTTTACCCGTAAAAATATCGAATATCCCGTTAGATTTTTTTTCGACAACACTTAAGAATTCGAGGCACCTTCACACAATTTTTTTTCGATTGCGGTACGAATTCGGCATCAAAATCGGAACCTTTTGGAGAGAATGAACCTCGCAACAAATTGTTAGCTGGGATAGGACAACATTAAAATTGTATTGTACATACAATATAAAGAAAATGGAGCATACTTTTAGGGTCATTAGTTGCAGTTGAAAATTTCTTCTTAACTTTTGCATCGGCTTGCATTTAATTCTTTTTTGAGAATCCGTTCTAAGTCCATAATTTGTATCGTTTCTATTTTGTCATATTTGTGTAGCCTTATTTCCATATTGTTTCCTAGCTAAAATTTTAAAATATAAAACCATTACCAAAAATTTAAACAATTATCAAAACCAGAATCACCGCCATTATCATCACATTAATGGCGTTTTAGCTGCTTGTTCTGAATATAATCGTTCACCATTTTCGACATAGGTATATATGAAATATATAGTGAAATTTGTGAAATGTTTATAGTTGTTTTGAAACCGTAGTTAATAAACTTTTTTTGCTTGAGATATCAGGCTCCGTGTTGCAAACATTACTTTGGTCTGTTCTCGTACAACAGAAATGTATTATTTTTTTCAATATCATAAAGGAAAAATTTTTATCGTAATAAAATTTGTACATATTATTTGTAAGCAAAAATGTACAGTTTCTAACTTTCTAGAATTTTTGTTGGACATCGCGAAATAGGTTTAGTAACATTTTGTTAGTAGTTGTTGTCAAAACAAAAATGTTATATTACAACACAGCATAACAAACATACAACCCACAAAATGTAAATATTCACATCAAGAATAATATTATAGCTAGAGTTATTGTACAAGTTAATGTTAAACATATGGGTTAATTTACAACAACTACACTACATATAAACAATTCTATATAACAATTAATTTTAATTTACTACAAATTACAAGCACACCAATTATTAACATAAATTACAATTTTCTAAATTTTGAAGTGAAACAAATGTTGTTAGTAAAATTTTGTTATAACATTGTAGAGCCAGCAAACCAAATTAATTCAAACAATATCAAATAGATTATAATTCACATTGAATACAAACATTGAGGTTATGATTATTTTCAATTATTTTTTATTTTTCAGTTATATTGTACTTACCAATTTTGTTAAAAAACATGTATTTTTTTAGTTTTAATTTTGTCAGTATTTGATTTTTAGTTTTGTCAATTGTTTTCGTTTTTGTTTTTTAGAAAAAAGAAAAATTTTACTAAAACATTTGTTTCTGTTTGTTTTTTGTCATTCATTTATAAGAATTGTTCTGATTTATTTCATATTATTTTTTGGGGTATATAGAGGAATATTATTATAATTCAAAGCAAAAAATTATTATCAAATTCAAAATCAAACATTGTTAGATTACAAAAAGTAAAAATAATATAATTTTTTTAACTCAATTAAAAACAAATTTCTGCATTATAAATAATCATAATTGTTTAGGTGCGCACTCAAATTTCAATAACAAATGTTCATATATTTTTTGTAGGCTTACAACTAAGAAAAAAAGTAGTAACTATAACTAAAATTATTATTAACTAAATATTATTGATACAAACAAGCAATTTTATTTTTTGCCAATTTATTATTATTATTTCAAAATTAATTTCGATATAAAAATTTTCAAATTTCATATTAAAGTCATATTATATATTGGTTTGTTAATTGAGGTTAAATTTCAAATTAAAAATGGTATCGAAAACGTTATGGGGGAAAATTTATATATCATGGCACTATCAAAAAAAACAATTTCAAACTAAATTGCCTAGAAAAATAATTATAAGGGAAGTTGGTTAGGGAAGAAGGGAAACTCTGCTTATTTTAATTTTCAATTAAATTGAAGAAAGATATGTCGTAGTTTATCCTTAAAGTTATCTATTACCCTACCAGAATATACATTTATCCTATTTTTTATTTATAGCTTTGTTACCACTTGAATATTATTCTTTCTAAAACGTTGTGTAGTCTGACTAGTAACTAGTTGAATTCTACAAAGTTCCTGTTTCTGGATGCCCTGCAGGGAAAACCCACATCAAAATGTCAATCGATAATGAAAATCATATTCTCAATGGCGTCTTACTCCCGGTCGTTATATCTTGACATCCCGAAATAGGAGGGGTTACAATGTGAAAAAAGGCTTTGCCTGTTGTGAAATGTCAAACCAAATTAATTCTTTTCTCTTAATAGTTCCTAAATTCTAGTTTCGGAAACCTAATGCTTCTTCTTATTTCATTAATATTTTATACAGTAAGATATCTATGAATGTTTCAACTTCAAACTTACATCTAATATTAATTCTTGTGGAAGACTTCGCTTAATTTTTTTCCTATCATTTGTCTTGCCACCAAAAACCCCACAGAACTAAAACTAAACACTAAGTGAAAGGTTATAACACCCTTCACCAACAATTAAATAATTTAATATTTTAGAAATGACGAATATCTCTTCATATTTTTGCAATACACAATTTTGGCACTTGCAGAACAATTTGGACTGAGATTCAGATCAGAAGGACCAAAACACAATTAGAAACATTATTATGTATAGATATGTCAGCAAGGAATGCTAATCATTTGAAGTCCAGTTCGTTGATTTCCAAAGTCAAATTTCTCCCCAATGCAAATAGCATTGCCTCTTTAACATAAAAAATAGAGCATACTTTTAGGCTCATCAGTTGCAGGAGAAAATTTTTATGTTTTCTTCTGCTTTAATTTCATGTTTCTTTGAGAGAATTCCTTCTATGTCCCTGAATTGTCCCCTGCAATTTTCATATTTCACAATTTTTTGTTATTCCTAGCCAAACAAATTTTAAAATATAAAACCATCATCAACAATTTTCAGTTTACCCTCATCCCTGGCTTTTTCACTGAAACCATTTAGACAACTATCAACACCCGAATCACCGCCTTGATCATCACATTGTTGATGCCGCTTAAGTTTTTCACTCTGACTATCAACGTCCCCATCGTCAGCCTCTTCCATTTTCGGTTTAGCTATCGACAATTTTAGTCCCCCCTCACCATTAAAGAATTGTTGCTTTTCAAACAGGGGATTTAGGACAAAATCTTTGGTCGTTGCCGAGACAGCACGAAAACTATTACGTTTCAAATCCTTGTGCAGTAATTGTTTTTCAAATTGTGTCAAAACACTAGAATCCGGTTGATGATGACTGCATGATCTAGAGCTAACAACACTACCGCAACGACTGCTGCTGCTATTACCGCTGAATACACTTAACATACTCATGGTTCTACGTTTATTGGTGGTGGTATTCAAAGCTGAACTACTTTTCCATGAACGTTGTGATATTAAATCCAATTGGGGATCTTCATCGACACCCTCATCATCATAATTATCATTATATTCATAATTGTCTTCCTCATTGTTATACCGATAATTTCTATTGGAATAACGATGATGATGATGTGAATGACGATTTGATGAACGTTGAGGATAATAATAATCATCATTACTCTCATCGATATGATAATTTGAAGCCGATGTTGCTGGCCTACTACTACCAATCGATAATCTTTGTTGCATTACTGATGCTGATGATGGTGTTGGGGATGTTAAATTATGATTTAAATATTTAAGGGAACTAGCACGACGCACTGGGGTCGATAGCGTCCAATGACAATCGTTATTGTTGCTGTTAGTGGTTGTTTTACTTTTGCTGTTACTACTACTAGTTTTTGTATGATTCTCAAATGTTTCATTAATGTTCTTATTCTTGTTCATATTGTTGTTGATGTTGGTGTGATTGTTTGGCTTGTTTACCTCTGTTACTACATCCTTGCTAGTTGCAGCAATTTCACGCACCGGTGATGATACTTGTGATGATTTTGCCGAGCCGTCATTGATATAATAATCGCGACTGTATCTAAAAAAGGGAAGAAATTAAAAAAAAAAATTAGGTGTTATTAGGATAATATTAAAAAAATATCACAAATTCCATGGAACCAATCGAAGCTATTCAAATTATTTGTCAAAATTAAAATTGTGAATTAATTTTATAGTTTATGACTTTTATTTTATCCATAGTCTTCATACGACCTTTATATGAATGGAATGAAAATATTTATCACCTCATGGAAATAGACATCGATGGAAATATATGACTATTCTGATATCAAACTACCCCGAAGGCATGAACCAGTATCAATGTAAGTTTTTAACATATATTTCAACTTAAATATATATTAATATTTTTTTACAGATATTTCATTATTTTCCAAGCAGAGTACTTGGACCAAGAAGTTATAAAACTTTCATTCGCCTTCTTATAAAAAAAGGAATGAAAAATAATATATACGACACAGATGAGTATTCCGAAGAATTTTGACAGAAAAGGTTTCAAAATGTCCTTTTAAATTCTTTGATTGTCGTTTATATACCATCACTTTAACCTTACCTTCTATATTCATTTTCTCGTTGATTGGCTTCATCAGCTTCAACTTTGTCTTTGGTTAACATTTCCAGAGGGCTGACTTCTGTCGATGCATTTATATTAGGCAGATCAATGAAACGTTCTTGACTGCCGCTTATGCGACGTTTGAGAGCTTCCGGCGCATATGGATTATTGGGCATTTCAACAGCATTATACCATTTCTTGTATTCACGTTCTGCAATAGAACCTGAAAAGGAAAATTTTAATGATTTTTTTAATAGGAATAGGAAATCCATAACTATCACAACAATAAAATACTCCTTGACCTAACATTTAATATTAGCCTAGGGTGGTCTCACTCTAAACAAAGCTGAAATAAAATAAATAATGGATAAATATTTTGAAAATTAATTATAATGGACAAGTTTTGGAAGTGGAAAAACAAATACAATATTCATTTGCATATAAGAAATATTGATGGTCCTTATAAATTTAATATTAAGGGGATAGATTGTTTCCATTCCAAATTTTGTTCATTATAACCATTTCCGTTTTTATAAGAAAAACACAGACAGACAAACAAATAGACACATAACTTTAATGATTAAACAGATAAGAACACAACACAATTATACAACAATGATGAGAAGAAGGAGCCAACATCCAACAAATACAACAACATCGATGTTTTACGATAATACGAGGCATATTGGAGAGAGATATAGAGAGCAAACGAGCGAGCTATTACACCACACCGAGTTTATGAATTTTTTGATTGGTTGATGTTGCAGATCAAAGTTTATGATGATTTTGTATTAGTAGTAGTGAGTGTGGTACCTGGCAGGAATTTTCTCAGTGTGGTTATTCGATCATTTTCATCATCATCAGTTTCTGTTTCTTCCATTTTTGTTATCGTTTCCTGAGTCATGTCGTGGTTAGAAGATCCATTTAAAGTTATTGGGGTTTGGGTTAGTTGTTCTTCTTCTTGGTCTTTAGGGTTAATATCAGAGGTTTGTTGGTCGTTGATGGCGGTGGTGGGAGTATTTGAGTTAGTGGGGGTTATGGTGGTCGTATTATTGTTAGGTGGTGTACTATTAAGATTAGTATTCGTTGCGAGTTTATTTTCGTTTTGACTATCTGGGATAGTTTCATTGGCTGTGATATTAGTAGAGTTTGTATTAGTAGTAGAAGTGGTAGTAGTTGTATTAGTAAAATCTATTGTTGTAGTTGTATCATTAGTATTATTGCTATTGCTATTTAGATCTCTATTCTTGTTCTCCTCTAACTTATCAACTAAAGTATTATCCCCTCCTCCTCCTCCCTTCTTCCTTTCCTCAGTTATTTCATCTGAACTCAATGTTAAATCTTCCATTTCTTCGGTGCTGGTCAATCGACTTTTACCATCGTAGTCGTCGCCATCATCATCACCATCATCATCTGTCTGACTGGTATTATTAATGCTTAATTGATCTGAGAAAAGAATTGCATTAATAAAATTATATGAAATTTGAAAATTATTCGACACAGTTACAATGAACGTATCACTACTACAATCCTCATCATAATCATTGCAGGATAATGATCTTTGATGGCGGATAGATTTGCTTGTTGCTCTATCTACTATTGCAAGTGTGGGTGCAAGAGGAGGAGTTGCAGGTGATGTTGTTGCTGTTGTCGAACCACAACAACAACGATTACACATAGAATTAGAACATAAATCAGCGGTAGTAGTAGTAGTATTAGAAGAAGAAGAAGCACTAGTGGTGTTGGGACAAACATTCATTTGTGGTGGGATACAACATTCAGTGGTGGTGACATTGGGTGTTGTTAATACCTCAGTTTGAGAGGGAGGAGTTTTGTGAGTAATTACCTTCTCCACCTTCTCCTCTAATATTTCATCACAATCCTCCCTACTGGAATGATATGAATCGATGGTACTTAAAAATCTATGCATGAGCAGGGTACAACGACGACGACTTTCAAGGGCAGCCACAAGATGTTTATCTTGTATGTGTTTGTGGCAAATTGTTGCCAAGCTATTGGTGTTGGTATTGTTGTTGGGAGCAGATGTTGGTAGTGGTGGCGGTGGTGATGTTGGTGGTGTTATTGCGTGATAACCATCATCTAAACTCGGTGTGGTGTATTCAATTCCATATTGACGTTGCAATTTCATGATTTTGTTTGTTTTCGTTCGTTGTTCTTCGTTGGGGGTTATTTTCGTTGATTCGTTGGGGCTTTTTAATTCGTTTTCTGATTCGCTTTCCGATTCAGATTCTGTTTCGGTTTCGTTTGATTGTCGTGTTTGTAATGGAGAATGGATTTCCTCAAAAGATATACTTTGGGATTTGTCGCAAGGTTTTTTGTTTAGGGGAAGTTTTCGAAGGTGTTTGGAACTGCTTTCAGTAGTAGCATCGTATTCTTCAACCTCTTCAATGGAGGTTAGAGATGTTATGGCAGGTGATTTGGCCATTACTTTACTTATCTTAGGTTTGTCATAGTCATTGGATAATTTATTGGCTTCAATGGCACACTGTGGTGTGGTTAATATCTCTTCAGAGGTAGATATGTTCGGTTTCAAATCTTTGGTAGAGTTGTCAGTACTTTCATATTCCTTTACAAATACTGATTCAGGATAATCAGATTCTGTATGAACTTCTGAAACAAATTCAGAAGTTATATCTTTCTTGTTAAGGACTGAAATATTCAGAGCTGTTGTAGGCGTGTTAAACGGATCTAATTTTGATTGCATCATTTGCGTGGAATCCGAGTTCGGCATTTCTTCGATAATCATTTCAGATTTAGTTTTGTTGGAAGTCATAGTCGAAAGTATCGACTCAGGTACTATATCGATTTTAGAAGTTTTGGTAATTTCAAGTTTTGATCGTTTCTTTACATCGGAATTCGACTTTTGCATATCTGGTTCAACTATTTCTGATTTCGGAGAAGTGGTTTGATTTATAATATCTGGCATTGAAGTCTCAATAATATCGTCCTTGGTCTGATTCTCTTTATCATATTCTGATATGTCTTTTTTAATCATACCAGGTTCAAAATCGGACCTTAGAGTATCCATAATATCTAGTTGTAATGTATTTTCTTCTTTTATCATTGCAGATTCCATTGCTGGAGAAGACATGGCCTGGGCGGCCAAATTTAATGTAGAGGTATTATTTATTGAGGGTTCTGATTGTAGTGAAATGTCTATTAATTCGTCTTTATTATTTTCAGGCTTCGGTGCAGTTCCCTCTGCAGTAGAGTTCGGACTTTGGTCTACCAAATCGTAGACATCTATCAGCTGGCTTTCGTCTTGGATACCAGAAGTATTTTCCATCTGGTTTTCCTTTTCGATTTTTGAAACCCTTATATCTTCCTCGTCAGAACCATACCTCGAGGCCTCCGGTGGCACTGGTAAATCAACCGTAAGTACAAAAATTTCCTTAAAACGTTTATGTGAATCAGAACTTTCACTACGCTTATATTCCATGGATAAATCATCGGAGGAAACTTCAGATGATGGTATATATTTTTCACCGCGCACATTTTCATTTACCGTGGCTACAGATGCATCTGAACATGATGACAAGGATATGGCATCGCATCTTGTTAGGATTTGCAACTTTCTTGTGTCGCCCTGTTGCGGCACATTTAATAAAGCGGCATTAGGTTCGGAACCGCTACTGGAATCTTGATTTGTTGAGGAGCATGAGGATGAATCCAATGAGATTTCATCTAGGTAAATATTTTCAGCAGGAACTAATTTCGATTTTGGAATTTTAGATTTGATATTTGCGGTTGGGACCTCAGAGGAATTTGACGAGACCCTTTGTAGACTTGAAATTACTTCCTTTGCCATATTATTTTCTTTTGCGATAACCTCTTTAGAATCATTTTTCAGTTCTTTCGAAGTCATTTCATATTCTGAGGCAATAGATTCAATTATTTGATTTGCCGATATATCATATTCTATGGATGTTGATTTGGGCGCCAAATTCATTGTAAACTGCATATTTTCTTTTGAGGAGGTCAAAAGACGATTTTCTTGCTTCAATTCCATCTCATGCGTAGAGGAGGTCTCAAGTACCAAAACATTTTCCGTTGGCTTCCCCTGTTCGATTTTCTTATTTATTTCTAAACTTGTTGGCATATCTACTAAGGGAATTTGCGTGGGGCTTAATATACCTTCCATGAATGGTTTCTCCCTAATTGGAGCTTTGATTTCTGCATTAACAATTTTCCGACTGCCTTCAGATATCTCCCGAGAATCTGATTTCCGTACAGAAGAACTTTTCGGTGTATATGCCGGCATCATGGGCATACCCGTCATTAGTAACAGAGGTATGCGCGAACTTATATTGGGAGGAGTTTTCATTGTCATCATCAGGGGACCATCTGGAGGTGGCATAAAATCTTCCACTACGGTAGTATCCTCTGTAGTACCTGTAGATTCTAAAGAAGATATATGAACCTCTAAAGATTCCGAAAGGGTTTTGGTATTTAAAGGTTTCTTTAGCAAATCTTTTAAGTCAACACAAGGTGGTGGGATGTCAAGTGCTTCTGGTGGTTGCATTGGTAATTCAATAGAGTTTAAGGGATTTTCAACAATTTGATCAGGTGGCATTTGCTGCATAAGAATTTCGAGTGGTTTCTCAAAGGGGATTTCGTTGGAAATTGTAGGTGAACTCTTCTGGGATTCATTGGTGGTGGCAGAGGCTTTTGGTTGCGATATTAGGTCTCCAATGGAAGAAGGTTGCTCTATAAAATCTACTGGAGATTCGTTAGATTGAGGTAACTCCTCAGGTTCTATTATATTGGACGAAACTTCATTAATATCTTTGTCGTTTATTTTTTCAGTCTCCCCAGATTGCGATGTATCAACTTCTGGATCTATTTCAATCGATGTCACTTCATCTAAAGATTGTTCAGCGTTTATTGTGCCAGATATTGAAGATATCTGTTCCATTGTATTTTGTTTCGATGTCAGATCTGTTGTAAATGTTTCCATAAATTTTTGTTGTATTTGTTGTCGATTTGGCATTTGTTCTGATACTTCTATTCTAGATGATATTTCGAAAGTATTACTGGGACTTATATCTTGTATGATACCTGATGGGAAACCTGTTGGTTCCGCAACACTATCTTGTGCTGTCGAAGAAGTGGGTTTTAGTGGTTCCGACAAAGTTTCACATTTTTCCTCCGTATTTGTTGGTTCAATCGATATATCTAAACTTTGAATGGGAGAACCAGCAGGTTGAAAACCTTTCTTTGGGGACTGCTCTTCTGCTGATTTTACTTCAGTAGGTGGTGAACTTATGGATTGCTGTTTTATGTCAGAATCTAAAAGAACCTCGCTAGAATTAATTTGATTAATTTGATCTACTTCAGCTGTGGGGCTATCGGGAATCTCTTTCTGAGGTTGCAGGGTCATCGATTCCTTTACGATTGTTGGTGGCTGTTCTGTTGTTGGCACTTCGGAAGCTGGTGTAAAAGTTTCTTGGTTTTCGTTTGAATCTAAAGGAATTTCACCTGGCATTTTTTCTATTTCAGATTGCGGACCATCAGCAGAAGGTACCTCAGAGGTCGAAATCGCTATTTCTAAAACTATTATCGGTTCTTCTTTAATTACTTCATTAGTCTTTTGAATTTCTTCTTCAGTAGCTGCTGGAATGTTTACATCTTGTTCTACTGCTTCAGATTTAAGAAGATCAGAGGAGCGATTATCAGATTGAACCACACGTTCTGCGGAGACTTCAGAAATAGTAGATTCAGATTTTTCTATAATTTCTTCTTGGCAAGCTGCTGGATGGAATACCTCCTGATTTTCTGACGAATCTGATGTTGTAGATTTAAGAATATCGACTGTTGGTAAATCAGTTGAATTTATTACAGATTCTGAAACAATGGACGGAGTCTGTTCTATGGATTCTAAAACTTGGGCGGAATTTTCTGCAGCGGGTTTCACAGATTCCGAAAGTTTTGTCGATGATGTTTCTATAATTTCTTTGGTCTCTTTAATTTCTTCTACAGTTGCTGCCGGAATGAATACCTTTTGATTTTCTGAATTTATCACAGATTCTGAAACGATAGGCGGATTCTGTTCTATTGATTCTTCAGTAATCTTTGTGGTTTCCTCGGAAGTTTTAGAGGTGGAATCCTCAAGGTTTTGGGAAATTTCAACAGTTTCCTTTTCTTCTTTCGTAGTAGGTTCCTCAAGTGAAGGTATTTCCGAAGCTGAAGGAAGAGAATATGTTTCCGTAGGTGTTTCATCAGCCTTTATTATTTTTTCTTCATATGCGGGACGGACAATTTCTTTTTGTTGTGGAGCATCGGTCTTAGATTCGGAAATGTTTGCCGACGATTGTTCATTTTCGTTGGATTCTGTGGGTATTTCACTTGTCGTTACCGTATCTGTTTCTTTTTCTACTTCCAAAGAAGTTTTCTCAGTTGGCGGAATCACCAATTCCTGTGGAATT